GATTGGTATTTGCCACTTATGGGTTCTCTTATGCCCCTAAGAGAAAGTGTTATCATGCAGTGGTAACTGAAGGATTCTGTGTTGAGAGGGAGTACAAGCCATCTTCTTCCTCATATACACCAAATGACTTCATGACCTTTTACTCCTTTAAACCTGAGGTTTTTGTTCTTTGGTGTTGAGTCTTTGTCTTGCAATAGCGCTGATAAGATGTCAAACATGATGTCATAACATCATTATAAAGGTGAAAAGATATTTCTCTATATTGTTGTGTTCAGTAGCTTCTAAAGACTGAAGACCAGAGATGTGGTTGTAATTTTTATTGTTGTAATCTGAGATGTCATTTTTTTTATTTTTTTTAGCAAAAATTTTCCAAAGGGAGATTGTTACTTCTCTGGTTTTAGGATTGAAATTAATTTTAGTAAAACAAATATAGCACCAGTATGTTAAATACAATGTATTAACTTGTTGAGAAGAATAAGATGAAGAATAAGTCTTATTTTATGAAGAAACATGTTAAGATGATATGTTTCATCATCGGGAGCAACATGTCGGACAAGATGTCCCATGCAGAGTCATTCGACATCGTGACTTGTTTGGGTTGGGCTGTTGGATCAGTTTAAGATTTAACACATACAAAATATTATGGGAATATTATGCTATCCTATGTGGAACTAATTTTATGGTTTGGAAGATTTAAGTTGAAATCAAGAAGAATATTGAATTTCTAATTATGGAGATAAATTAGGAAAGTCATGATTGAAGACCTATCTTTATGCAAAAGATTATGCAGATTTGTAGCAGCTGATATGCTGTGATTTGAAGTCTAAATCTAGTTGGGAAAAGGGTTATAAATAGAAGGATATTAACCTAGAAAAGGTACCAACCGAATTTGCAAAGTTAAGATTATTGGGGTTGAGTCTTTAAGCCACTCTCTAGGAGAGTTGGTATATGTGAGCCTCTCTAATATCATGTTGATAGAAGAATAGGAATATTCTTTGAGTTGTAAGGTTATGTTGTTCATTCTTAAGCTTTTAAGCATATAATTTATATTGTTCTTGGATGAAGCTTTGAAGCAAATCCAAGTGTGTTGGTTAGTCAAGAGTCTTGGCTGATTGAGCGACATGTCATATAAGATGTTGGAACATGTGTTACGACTCTGGAATGATAAGTTTTGTATCAGTCGGCTGTATTTTATCCATGTGTTATTTTGCAGAGATCAATGTCTCAACATGTGTTAGGACATGTGTAATCTGTGTACCAGAATTTCAGAAAACAGGACTTGATAATGATCAATAGTTTTGGCTTTTAAGGTGGTTTAATTATTTTTAGGAGTTTTTGAAAAGGTGAAAAAAATTAAGTTTTAAGGGTCTTAATCGGAATCCAAAGCATCTAACCAAAGGCTTAAAATGGTCATCACCTAAACGTTTAAAGACAACTTGCACAAGTAAGTACAAACCACCCTTGATTCATCCATTAGTGACCAACTAGATTCAATTATTTAATGTGTTTTGAAGAAATTTTTATTGTGAACAAGAAGTTTGAAGAAGGCACTTAGTGTTGACCAAGGTTTATTGTAAAATGGTTTAAAGGAAGTGGAAAATGGTGCTTGAGTGTCAAGTGATTTGGAAATGCAACTTGATGTTGATCAAGCATTTGAACTTATCTTGGAAAGACTTAATTTTATCGCGGGTTCACTTTTATCTTGATTAGCAAGTGATATGGTCCAAATTGAATCGGAAAAAAAAAAAAAGAATGATGATCAAGCACAAGATCAAAACACATACAAGCGTACACACAAGTACATAGCAAGCAATTCATACAATGACAAGATTATTTCTAAAAGATTAATAACTAAAAGAAAAATCTTTTGTTCATTTGAAATATTTAAAAGAAAAGCCCTAAGCATACACCTAAGAAAAATATTTTGAAATTTTGAACATTTATTGTATAGAAAAGAATAAGAAAGCTCATTAAAATATTTTTTTGAGACATTTTTAATAAGAGAATAAAGTGAACTAAAAAAGTATCTCTTTAATATTTATTTATGATAAGGAAAGCAAAGAAATAAATAATAATTAAATGTTTTATTATACTCTTTATAAAACTTCTAATCTTTCTTATTTTATAAAAAGAAAAAGAAAATTGGTTTTTTATAAGAACAAAGGATAAAAAATGACATTGGGCCTTAGGGGGTGTGCTTGACTGGATGTGGTAAGGCACAAAAGTAAAAGAAACTAAAAAAACAAAAGGGGCCACGAGTTGTTTGGCGGGTAGGGTTGAGAAGGAATCTAGGTTGGGTCTGACAATAATGATCCAACCCCCATAGATATAGATTTCCGACCTAGTTCAAATTTTAATCCAAACCTAAATCCCAATCTTCTTTCCATCTCAACACATATTTAGAAAAAAGACAATAATGGGTGAGCTTCGAAGATCCCTTCTCATATTTCCACTAAGTATACTTAAATCCACACACACTCAACACTAACCCAGCATGATCCCTTTCTCTAACTGTGATTCAAGCATTTGAAACAAAAACAAACAATCACAATGAACATATTAGATACCATGTGCCCACGAAAACCCTAACTGTAATCCAATAATTCAGAGTGTACGTTACAAATTACATAATGATGAAAGCAAAAATGAATAGCAAAATGAATCGATAAACATAAAAGAGCATGAGGATCAGGTACGCTTGTTTCTCTACTTCTCTGGTTGATATGCTTCTCTCGTTGCCCTGCTTCCTCCTTTCAATACACTTGTATGCTTCATGAACTAATGTAATATATGTATTATATGTATTATATAATGAAAAACTCTTTTTTATTTTATTTTATTTTAAAAAATCAATACAAAAGGCAATGATAATTTAAAAGTGATATGATTTGAAATTTAAATGAGTTGTGAAAAAATGTTTTTAAAATAGAAGTGAATAAAAGGAATAAGGTCATTGAATTAAAAAGAAAAAAAAAAGGGACTTAGAAAGTGGATAAAATTGGAAATGGGTATTGGACTATATATGATATGGATTTAAGTTATGGATATTGAATTTATGGACAAGTCGATATGGAGAATTGGTTTGAAATATGGATTAAAATGCAGTTTGGATTCAAAATGGACTTGAAGTAGATTTAAATAATGGATGAATATTTGAACAAGTTAGGAACAAATGGACTCATGGAATGAGTAAAAAGGGAGGGTCAAAATTGGAGTATGACTCGTAGTTTTTAGTTAAAATAATTTTTGTTTGTTAGTTGTTTTTAATTGTGAAAATGAATTTAGTCGCATTTGAGCGATAAGACTCGTTATTTGAAATGGACTCATATTTGAACGATAGAAATCACATTTGAGCGAAAGATTGCAAAAAACTCTCACTTGTGTGAAATTTGATTAGTTTTAATTCTTTTTAAATTTGTGAAAAAAGTCTTGAAATTGGTTGATTAATTTTTAAAAGGCTTGATGTTGATTAAGTTTTAATTTGTTTTGGATTTTTGTTGTGAAAATGAACATTGGAGCAAGTTTTATTTTTGAGTGAATGATTTTGAGAAGGCTCCTTGATTTTGATCAAGGAGTTTTGAATTGAGAAATGTTGTTTTAGTATGAAATCATCAAATTAATTAATTAAAATATATTTAACTAATTAATTAAAAGTAAATTAACAAAATTAATTAAAGTAAATTTAATTAATTAATTAATGTAATTAAAGTTTAATTAATAGAATTAATTAGTTAAAATATTAATATTTAACTTATTAGAAAAAAGGAATGGGTTTCAAACCGAAATGGTGATAATGTGTAAGTAAAAGGATAGTTATATAATTTTAACTAAGTTATTATTTTATTTTTTAATATCTTTTTAACTTTTATTTTGTATATCGAAAGACTTTGTAAAAGTAATTTGGAAATCATTTTTAACGTTAATTTTATTTTGCGTACTGGAATACTTTGCAAAAGAGTTTCGGAAATTAATTTTTTACATTAATTTTTATTTTGTATACCGGAAGACTTTGCAAAAGAGTTTTAAAAGTCAATTTTTTCATTAAATTTTGTTTTGTGTATCGGAAGACTTTTCAAAAGTATTCTGGAAGTTATTTTTAACTTTTATTATATATCGAAAGACTTTGCAAAAGAGCTCCGGTAGTCGTTTTTTAATGTTAACTTTATTTTATATCCGGAAAGACTTTGCAAAAATGTTTTGGAAGCCAATAAAATTACTGTTATTTTAGATTCAGCTGAACTTTACTCAAATGTAATTTTTCATTTTTTATTTTGCAGTGGTATGGTACGCATGGATGGTGATGAGGACATGAGACTTGCGTGAATACAAAAGCCATATTTATCTTTTTGCTTTTTTACTGTAAACTAAAATGTAAAAAGAAATTTGTGATTACTTTTTTTTTTTTGTATTTTCCATTTCTTCTTACAAAAGAAAAAAAATATAATAAAAATAATGTTTTTTCTAATTAATTATGTTTTGAAATATTTTTAAATAAAAATCCATTTTATACTGATGATATAATAACTGCAACTTAATAATTAAAAAAATGCAAGTACAATTGACCAATGTCAATTTAATAAAAAAATGGAAATTTCTATCTTTTAAGATGCAAATTCTGTTAAGATGCGAAATTAATGCAACTCTATTAAAACTCAATGCAAGTGCAAAACTTTAAAATTAATAATGCAAATTTAAAAACAAATTCTATTGAAAAATACAAATAAGCTTATTAATTAAATGTGATGTGCAAAGGAAATTGGACTTAAAACAAATTTGCAAATAAAAATGATCCACAAAAAGTCAACTTTTGACTTTAATGTAAATGGTGTAGATGAATTAATGTAAAAATGATTATATTCTATAGACTAAGCAGATGTAACTAGACCTAATCAAAATAATAAAATGAGGGGCAAAATTGGGGCATGATAGGCAAATGTCAACATTTATGCTCTCATTTTCACAGATTTTATCAGCAGTTCTTGAAACAGCTTCTTTACCTCTTAAACTTTCTCTTCACGAGGCAAAACCACTTCTTCTTCTTCTTCTTCTTCTTCTTCTTCTTCTTCTTCTTCTTCTTCTTCTTCTTCTTCTTTAGGGATGATCATTTTCTTTAGCTTCTTCTTCTTCGTTGGAGCAACTCTAACGATAGAAGTAACAACCTTTTAGGGGCGCTGCTCTACTTCTTATCTTAGTGGGCATTAAGATAGAAGAGGATACAACTTCATTTGCTTCCTTCTGAGCATCCTTAAAGGTCAGAACTTTCTTCTTCTGACTCTTCTTGAGATCTTCAGAAGCAGTAAGCTTTCTCTTTCTAGATGAATGAAACACAACTTTAGCTTTATCTGAAATATCCTTCATAGTCACACATCAGTTTCTTTTCTTTACTCCTTAGTATTCCCCATAGCCACTCCTTGATTAACCTTCTAAACAACGAATGGAAAATTATCAAGAAATGTAGAACATGCATAACTGACTTGGAGATGGGTTGAAGGCTTCTTAACATTCTTCTTGCTGATGATGTTCATTTTGCCTAGAATAGTTCCAGACAACATGTTTCCATGATTTTCTCCCAAAACATCAGAAACATATAAACTGAACAGGTCGACATTAATGAAACATATCAGAGAGAAGCCTAACATAGGAACATTTTTCTTGTATTTCTTAATAGTTTCTTTGATGGCTTCAGAAATATGATTGAAGATAAATGCAATCATATTTATCTTCTCCCTATTAACCAAGAACAATAAAAAGTGCTTGTGATCCCAAGATATTTGATTTGTACTACATTCTCTAGGTATCAGGCTACATATTAAAATCTTGAACAGAAGTTTGTACATAACATGCATATACTTCACTTTACCATAGTCAGCAGAGTTGTCTTTGATAAATATGGTGGACTTGATACAATCAGCTTCTTTGCTTCCATTCTTATAATTTAGAACAAACTTTCCTTCATTCTCCACACCAATGATCTTAGCAATGAGGTCTTGAGTAATAGTTACTTCAACATCCATTACAACATGCCTTATTTCAACCTCATTGATCCCAATAGTTGAAACTTTTTCACAAACTTGTGCATTCACCAAAAAAATCTCTTACCAGAGGAGGATAACAAGGACCATTTAGCATATCAAATAATTCCAACCAAACATGATGATCAAAGTGTTCCTCCAGAGAAAACCCATTCACCTTGAATGATTTAAAATCAACTCTTTATTCTATAACCAGCTTCAGTTCCTCTTGACAAATCTTCGTGGCCTTGTTTTTAACAAGAGAGCGAGTCCCATCTTGATGAGAAGATGATGTTGAAGCCATAACAAATGGAGTTAGGGTTTCTAAATGGGTATATTTGTAAAGGGGATTTTTGAAGAAGGTTAGAAAACTAAAAGTATAGGTTGTGAAGTGTGAGAGTGTGTGAAATACTAATCACAAAGTGTTTTGAGTGAAAACCAATTTTTTATTTAACATAGACTTAATGACTAAGGAGGGGAGAAGCATAAATATCAACACAAATTCATCAATACCATAAGGTTTTTACTCAACAGTTATAAACCACGTGTCAGAGGACGTTCATATTTGATACACATAAATGGACAAGTGTAAGAGGAAAGCAGTTGACCATGTTTTCCATTTGTGTACACTACTACAAATAACACATCTAACGTCAGACACGAAATGATTTTTACCCCGACATTAGAAGCGAGATAACTAAGGTCGTCATAAAAAGTAAATACTTATCACCTCGATGTTTAAAATACTGAGGTATAATTTACAAAAACTAGCGTATTTTTTCATATCGGTTTATCAAGAAAATCGAGGGGTTATTATTTTGTTTTAATAAAACTCGTTACATTGTTTACACAGAATATTAATAAAATAATTTGTTTACAAATTACAATGTTTATCCATAATATTACATTTTTTACACAGAAAAAATTAATTATCCATGAAGATCATATGTTGGATCTCCAATTCCTTGATATTCTGGGCAAGATCAAATGCTGGAAAACTCTTTTCTCCCAACAAAAAAAGGGTTAGGTAAATTAATTTCCCTAACATATAGATTTTAGATCTTCAAATTATATAATTTTAGGGTAAATCAAATGATGGGTGCGGAATATTCTATATGGCTTTTGCTTGCATTTGTTTATGATATGAACAAAAAAGGGTTAGAGAAAAAAAAGGTTAGATAAATAAATAATTTTCTGCTAAAATAAATTTTTAAGAACACAAATCTTAAACCCAAATAATTTTCTACTCTTGCAATCCATCATAAAGAACTATTCATGACAAATACTCTTGCAAACCTTAAACTCTTCATGATGTTGGATCTTCAAATATTTGATATCCCGTGAAGATCAAATGCTGGGAAACAATATATTTTCAATTGTTTTTTCTTGCATTTGTCTTGATATGAAAAAAAGGGTTAGATACATAAATAATTTTATGTTCAAATAAATAATTAATAACACAAACCTTAAATCCAAATAATTTCTACTCTTGCAATCCATCATAGAGAACTCTTCATAACAAAGACTCTTGCAAATATTAAAGTGGAGGATAGTTTCAAGCACTTCATAATGTTTCATTATCAATTTTTTATATTCAAAATGCTTTTTTAATGGAAGTTATTTATGTTTCACGCGGATCACTAATGGTAATGTCTTGAGCGTTGATAGTCATGAAATGAATGACAAGAATTTGATAAATATCCTCAATTTTAACGCTAAATGTTTCCTCAGTTTTTAGGAAAACTGATGGATTAGAACATTCAATTTACAAATAAAAAATACAATTCAAATAAAGGTTCTAATTTTAACACAAAATTTTCCCTCGGTTTTTAGCAACACCGATGGGCTAAAAAATTTAATTTACAAATAAAAAATAAAATTAAAAGAGAGGTTAGAACACCGACATGATGCGCGTGCATTGGAATCATATCACTAGAATAGAAATAATCAGCTATATCTAAGTCGTAACGTCTCATTTGGATTATCAAGGAGGCTTTTGAGCTAGTTAAACGTCTAATTACCAACTCATTGTGTCTTCAAACATTATTTCAAAGTCTTTTCCTATTTTCAACGTCCAATTACAACCTCTCTGTGTCTTGTTTCCTTGTTTCAAAGTCTTTTTTTTCTTATAAAAAATGGATACAAATCTATTGTTCGTTATCAATGAAAAGTATGTTGATTTCAATGATTTAGATCATTTTGAACTAAGGAAAGTTGTTAACAAACAAAGGTTGAATGGTTACTTTGACATTGTTGATGACCCCATACACACTAATCTCGTTAAAGAGTTCTGGATGAATTCCTCCATTGTGCCAGCTGGCCATGATGAAATCATCTAGTTCTATGTCAATGGCTCTCATTTCTTTATTACTCCATCACTGATTTCTATGACAATTAACTGTGAAGAGTTTGGTAGTTATGCTGAATATTATGAATTTAACAATGTCTATGCAACCCACATTCATCGGCTTTATTCCAACCAAAATAAGCTCTTCAATCTTGCTTCTCTACTCCCAATTTCAAACTTTTGGTTTCAACTTCTAGTGGCAAATATCTGCCCAAGAGAGAAAGACCTGGAAACAATTACTTGGTACGACAAACATCTCTTGTTATTCCTCACCTACAACATCAGAGTTAATCTTCCTCTTACAATTTTCAACTTCTTGAAGGAAATGATAAATACTTTTTGGGAGGAAATGACTTTCCTCATACCTTATGGACTGAGAAGTTTGAATTTGTTGAGTAGTTTTCTTTGTTGTGTTGTTTTTTATTATCAATGAAATATTTCCTTTTTCTATTATTGCATATTCATGTTTATTGATAACAATTTTTTTTTAGAATTACTAATTAACAAACAAACATGGCATCTAGAAAAGACGCCAAGTGATAAATCATTGAAAAAAGTTTTAAATGCAACACGGGATTCAAAGTGGGGTTCCTTATAACTATATTACCTAGGTTCTCAAATAAACTGATATAACAAGTTTATTATTATTTTTTTATGGATAAAAAAAGGAACTAACTTATAGGTGTGTTACCTCGATTTTTTATTAACATCGACGTAACATGTTGTTTATCTTATTAAAAAAATCAAACATTGCGTTCCCAGGACATATCTTCTCGGTTTTTAGCATGTTAGAGATGAAAGCTTTGTCATAAAAAGTGTTATTCATTATAGTGGTAATATCGAAGGAACTTAGTCAAACTCTGAGTATTAGACACTGAGATACTTTAGAGTTTAATATTCATCAGAGGTTGTTTTAGAGCTTCTGATCATAGTAGCTTTTGGTCATCCTCAGATTCTGAGCCAATATTTAGAATCAATCACTTTATCCTTAAATAAAAGTTCCTATAAGACCAATTCTTTCTAGTGCTTGATTCTCAAGTAACAAACATAATCCTTTGGCACAAATACCATAACAATACTGCTTATTGTAATAACCAACAAAAAATAAAGGGTCGCCACAATTACTTTTTATTCTAAGGAAAGGAATATAACGGATAACCCTAATTTGGATCAGAGATTTTAAGTTGTTGACTCGCTTTAGGTGAAGGGAAGGTGTTAGGCCTCCATTATCTACCTTGTTCACAAGGATACTAGGGTTTATGTTAAAAGGTTTAGGAATAGGGTTTTAGTTTTAATTAGGGGAACTCGCCACGATTTTAAGTCATATGCCTACGTATCTTCTTATGAAGAATCAAATTGCCATTTTGTAGTTCGTAATTGTTTGGTTAGTTTTTTTTTTATGGATTATGGAAATATTTCGAATTCTCCTTGAGCCAAATCTGGGTGTGTGAATAGCAGAATTTTGTAGACGAAGTTCGCAGTCTATAAAAGAAGTTTCCATAATCCTTTTTTTGAAAATAAATAAGTTTGAATTATGTTAGTAAAAAGTAGTTAGTAATTGATTAGTTAGTTGTTTTCGAATATATGATGCAATTTTGAATGAAAGAAACTTAACGCAAATATATACAAAGAGTAAGTATTTTTAAAAAGGGATTTCAATTAGTAAATAGCTATTTTATAATTTATTAAAAATATGTTAAATATTTTTTTATAAAAATAAATATTACAATTATTTATCAATTATGCAAAATAATAGGTGAATGTGATAAGTTAAAAAAAACTAAATTTTAGAAAATTAATTAATTAATTTTATTTCAAAAAAACGTAAGGGGGTGCAAATTCGGTTAGCTAGTAAAAACCAGGGGTGTACTAGAAATATATTCAGGTCCAAAAGAAAATCTGAGCCCAAATAGTAGGGGGTGCATTTTGTAATAGGGTAGTAAAATAGGGTGGTGCTAGAAGTAAGGGCCCATGTCCAGATGTTAGACTTGGCCGAGAATGCATGAGGGTGCAGCTTGTGATGGCAAAGTAATAAGGGGGCGCAGATAACATGGGCTTAAGCCCAATAGTTTGTGTTTCGGTCCAAACATGGAGGGGGGTATGAATCCAGTCAGACCAGTAAAATGGAAAACACAAGGGAGTGTGGTTAACAATTGGGCTTGGTCCAAAGTTTGAACCAGGAGAGGTCCGTTTAGATCATGTGTATGCGAGCGTGTGGGTTTACAATGCAGTTGTGCTATTATGATCATTTAATTTAGACCAGAGAGTAGAAAATGTGAGGGCGTATGGGAACAGTGATGCACAAGATCACAGAGTTATTATATTTTTGTTTTCTTCTTCATATGCGTTTCATTTCACTGCTTCTCCTCTCTCTCTCTCTCTCTCTCTCTCTCTCTCTCTCTCTCTCTCTCTCTCTCTCTCTCTCTCTCTCTCTCTCTCTCTCTCTCTCTCTCTCTCTCTCTCTCTCTCTTCCTCTACTCTCGTCTTATTCAATGAAAAAACAACAATGCAACAACAGCCCCGAAACCCTAGATCGGCAGCGGCCAACCCCCTGAACCCCACCTTCAAACCCAAATCCCCTCAAAAGAAACACACGACAACATCAATCACAAAAGATATCGAAAGCTAAGCGTAACACCAACCATTATCTGCTATGATTCTTTGAGTTTCTGGTTTCTCCAATCACTAATATTTCTCCTTTCCTTCTTATTTCACAGGTTTCAGAGATGATGGTATGGCGACGGTCTTTGGGTTTCTGTTCAGAAACCCTAGATCTGGATGAAAAAAGATTTGACTTGAGGGCCTCACAACAGCTTTGTTCCCCTTCTCCTTCCTCTTTTCTTTCTGGAAATTTTCTTCCCTTCTGTAAAAAATTTCCTCCCCCTTAGTTCTTAGAAAATAGGGGTTCTTATAGTTTTCTTAGAATAGCTTGATTAGGAAATATTTATGTAATTTCTATTACAATTTAGATTGATTTTAAATTGATTTAAACTTATGGATTTTATTTCGTTCTGTTTTAAATCTGTATGATTTGTTTGTAATATTCAACCTTGTAAGATTTGATTTGTTTATTGTTCAATTAGATGAAGATTTAATTCGATTTTTTTATAATTTGATGCGTTTCTGGATTTGGTTTTATTTTCGATCTCTACATTATGCGTTATTTGGGCCTTTGAGTTGTTGTGTAGCGAAGAAGGACAAAGAACAAGTCGTCGCTGTAGCGGTGAAAATCAGAGATCAAGCTATTAATTAACTTGACTCACAAAAGCAAGAGTCGCCACCGCGCTTTATTATTTCCAAGGGAAAAGGGAAAAGAGCGAAATAAAACCCTAAAATATGCAATGTATAATAATACTTAAAAGTAATGAAAATACAATGCGTTTTGAAAAGAGATCGAGAGTTCGGGGGTTGGTTATACAATGGGAAGGTATTAGCACCCAATGCATCTGCGGTACTCCGCAGGAACCTTTTGAAATATCTGTTTTTGGTTAAAATTGTTTGTTTAGTTAAATGGGTATGGACGAGATTTTTGAAGATACGACGACCTAGTGTCGAAGTTTTGACTTAAAAGGTGTGAGTTTGAAAATGGAGTCTTTTGGGAAAATTATCTTAGGTTTAACAAAATAGTAAACAAACAAAAGATGAATGAGGGTATCGCATGATTGGATGAGATGTGTTTGATAACATGAAGTCAACAAAGTTAAAACATTTCCCTTGGATTAAATCGAGCGAGCAAAATAAAATAGACATCAAAATATAAGCAATCAAAATTCACAAGAAAATAAATATAACGAAACAGATTAATGACCTAAAGGCATCGAGAAATTAAAATGACAAAGATATTTAAATAGAATAAAAGAGAATGTAACTAATTATCTAAAGAAGTTATTTAAACTAAATTAAAAATTTAAGATTACTTACTAAAAAATTTCTAAACTAACTACAAATTCTAAGGTTGCAAAAATAGTTCTAAAATTACTAAATTAGATCTAAGCTAAATTAAAAATTTTAAAATTAGTAAATTAAATCTAAACTAAATAAAAATTCCAAGGTTGCTAATCTAAAACAAAAAAAGTTCCAAAGTTACTAAACTAAATCTAAATCAAATAAAATTTTAAAAGAATATTAAACTAATTCTAAACAACTAAAATTCTAAACTTATTAAACTAATTCTAAATCAAATAAAAATTATAAACTCATTAAACTAATTCTAAATCAAATAAAGTTCTAAAGTCCCTAGACTAAAACTAACAACTAAAATTCTAAAGTTAACTTAAATAAAATCAAATAAAATTCTAAAGTTTACTAAATTAAAACTAAAACAAATAAAATTCTAAAATTTACTAAGTCAAATCTAAATGAAATAAAATCCTAAAGTTACTAAAATAAAACTAAACAAAATAAAATTCTAAAGTTTACTAAGTCAAAACTAAAACAAATAAAATTCTAAAATTTACTAAGTCAAATCTAAATGAAATAAAATCCTAAAGTTACTAAAATAAAACTAAACAAAATAAAATTTTAAAGTTTACTAAGTCAAAACTAAAACAAATAAAATTCTAAAGTTACTAAATTATATCTAAATCGAATAAAAATTCTAGAGTTATTAAATTTAATCTAAACCAAAAAATGAAAATTTTAAAGTTACTAAATTAAATCTAAATCGAATAAAAATTCTAGAGTTATTAAATTAAATCTAAATCAAATGAAAATTTTAAAGTTACTAAATTAAATCTAAAACAAATAAAAATTCCAAAGTTATTAAACTAAATCTAAATCAAATAAAATTCTAAAACTATTAAAGCTCTAAAATTACTAAATTACATCTAAACTAATTTAAATATAAATTAAGTTAATTATAAAATTACTAAATTGTAAAATTAAAATTCTAAAGTTGTTAAATTAAATCTAAACTAACTTAAATTTCTAAAGTTACTAAAATAAATCTAAGCTAACTAAAAATTACTAAAAAGTTCTAAACTAAAATATCATTCTAATATTACTACTTTAAATGTAGACAAGTTAATTATAAAAAAAGGGGTGTGAAATAGAAAAATAGGATAGAAACAGTTAACTAGCGGATTGGGCCTAGTTTGGTGGGTCAAGGCCCCAAATAAAATTCTAATGAGAAGAAAAAAAAACCCTAGAAATTCTAAACAACAATGCAGCCGTTCCACACTTGTTTCTCTCACCGATTCCAAATAATTAGCATTTAAACCAAGTCAAATCCAATTAACTAATTAAATAAATAAAAGATTATTCTAAATCCTCTCTCTCTTCTCCTTCATCTTCCGCGAATCTTCCCCTCTCCTCCCTATTTCATCTTCTTATCTCTCTTTCAACTTCTCACATCTTCCGGAAAATCAAACAAACTCATAAACAGTAATAATAAAAAAAATGAAAAAAGAGGAAAGGATGAGACAAACCCTACTCCGGCGATGAGTCAAATTCACATTGGTTTGTGATGGAGATATGGTGAGCAGAAATCGGAAGTGACAGTGTTGTTGCGGAGATTTTTGTTAATGATGGTAGATGAACAGAAGCTGTTCTGCTAATGCTTGTTCCTCTGTCATCTCATCTGCACCGCTCCACTTGGCACCTTTTATAGAGTCCTGCACTGTCTCCATTTTGTGCTGTTCATATGCTGCGTAAACTTCCTCAATGTACTCGCCAAATCCAAGAACCCCTAAAGCCTTCAATACGTGCTCAGGTGCAATAGTCCTTCTTTCCTCTCTGTTACATACTTCATTTGACTCTGATGAGATGAACTCTACGCAGCATTCAATCAATAAATCCTGAGTATCTCTTGCAACACGCACATCTGGTGGTAACATCTCTTTAATAATTTTTGTCATCGTCGCTTTAGGAAGCGAAGCATCTTCCTTTGATTTTGCAACTATATCCATGGGTTCCATCTTTTTTTGTTGTTGATCGATTGAAGAAATAGAAGAGTAAAAGCGGCGAAGAAGAAAAAATCAATTTATTGAAGATCGGTGATGAAGGGGCATGGTGGCTGATGATTTAATTTATGAAAAAAAAAAAAAAAGAAAAAGAAGAAGGTTAGATGAATGAACAACTGTTATATTTTTTTCTTTCTATTCTCGCACCAGTTTTTTCTAAGATTTTTGAATGTTATGCTTGATTTGTGCACTTGGGAAATTTCATTCATTACATGGCTACTTTCGCTTCTGGTTTTGTTGTTGTGAAATTGCAGACAGTTGTGCAAATCTGAGTAGTGCTGGAAATTTATTCAGTGGCAACCATTTTACCAGTGTTGTAGCGAGCATCATAACTCTCCTCAATTTACCAGTTGTCGATTACACTCTTCCTCAAGCTGCTGAAGCTATTAGCCAGAACCACTTTGGGTTTACTGGATACTGTGTTTCTGATGCTGTCAAACAAGTTAACTCTTGTAATAACAAGTTTTCTGAGTTGGTGTTGGCACCTTTAGGGAATAGAAATGGGGTTGTTCACAAGTTTGTGGATGTTGCTTCTGCTATTATTAAGCAATTTTTAAAGGATTGATTTCTATATATTTTTATTCTTTTTCTCCTACTGCTATTGTAGGAATTAGGCAACAATCTCCCCCTTGCTTTTCACCATTTGCTTATGTTTTTATAGTGAATGTATGATAGAATCGGAGGGAAAATTGGAGCCAAATATCACTTGAATTCTACTTTATGTCAACTGCCTTATGCTTTCTTGATGCAGGGATTTATGGTTTCATTTTGGGCAAGTTTTTGGACAACAAAGATAGTAAAAAGGCTGTTTGCAGACTGGTTTTTTTATGTAGGTGTTATACGGTGGGAGAACTCACTATGAGTTTTGCGTTCGTATTCGCACTTGTGCGGTTGAGCAAGAGTCACCACCGACTTTTTATTTTATCCTAAAGGAAAGGTTGAAGAAGCACAGCAAAAACCTTTTGAGATATTTCGTGGGTCCGGGGGTAGATTATGAAAAGGGAAGGTATTAGCACCCTTTTCATCCATGGTTATCCATGGGCTCTTAGTTACTTGGTTTTTTAGATCACTTGCCTTGATTTTCGATTGCTTGAAAATGGTGTGTGTATGTATGTTTTTGAAAATGTTTTGGAAGAAGATGTCTTGTCTTAGGCTAACCTTGTAACAATTCTTTACTCGAATATTTTATAAAGGCGTGTATCTTTTCGAAAAGATGTTTCAAAAATGTTTTGAGAGTTTGTTTTGAAAGTGCTTGTGGAATGTGGTTTTTGAAAAGAAGGCAAGTGTTTTTGCAAGTTCATCTCAAGTAACTAAGAGTTTTGTCTACCCTATTGTACTCAAAGTTTTTCTCTATGTTTTCAACCCTTTTTAACAATTTTGTTCCACCATTGAATTTGGTGGACAATCTTGCGTTTAGGAAGTGAAAGGGACGGGCGCGGGTCATCGTATGGACCATGAATGCAATGATGCCAAGTGTCTTTGGCAATTTGCTTTGAAGGGACTATGATCATTCCGTTTAGGCAACATTCGAAAGCGTCATCGAGGGACTTATGATCATTTTGAATTGGTTTTGCCAAAGATACTCGACGTGCAAACATGGCCCATTTTGGAAGGCAACATGTGGGATTACCCTAGAGGGTACAAGTGCGATTGTGTATTAATTTCATGTATTTGTCTTGTATTAGGTTATCTAGCGTTCGATTTTATGTACATACAAACCCTAGGTCTAACCATGGTATAATTGAAAGCGGTAAATTGCGAAAATGTAAAGTACGCTATTACAAAATAAGTATCCGGGAGTGGGGGTACAAATTTATGAATAGGGATGAGACTTAGGAATGTAATGTCCAATAAGTTACAACCAAATCGAATCGATCAAATGTAGATGTAACGAATATCCAAATATAAGCAAGTGTGTATAGGAGCAATGTAAATGTATTGTGTAAGTGTACGTGTATGTAATTATTTACAGGTGCGACAATGTGAATTTTGATATGTATTAAGTATTGTTGACCTAAATATTTGTTTAATAAATCTTTGATTTGTATATTTTTAATATGTACAAAAAGAATGTTTTAATTAAAAGTTTCTTAATTAAACTATGTATATTAAAAAAGTATTTATTTATTATGTACAAAAATTTCTTAAGAAAGGAAAATGTATTTATTTTAAACAAAGAATTTATGTACAAAGTATGTTTTAATTAAATATCAAGAATTGAATTATGTATATTAGAAAAAATGTATTTTTAAGTATTTTTAGTATTAATGTTTAAATTATTTTAATTAAAAAAAAAGAAAGGGTTGAGTTTATGTATAAAAGAAATGGGCTTGGAGGATTATGGTGGCCCATAACAAAAGAGCCACAAATGGGGGGTTTAACTGGAAATTAATGGGCTTAGGCATAAATGGTTGGGGCAAAGCCCATTTGCTTGAGACAATTAGTTTTTGTTAGGGTTCACTGAATGTCGTTCATTTGGGATTACATTTAGGGTTTGTGAGGCGCGCCGCTCGTGCTTGTCTTCTTCGTCTTCCTCGTTTACGCGTTTCTGAATTTCCCCTTTCGCCCAAGCCACCAACGCCATCATCATCTCCTCTCCCTCTTCGGTCCAACGAGGCTGTAAGGTGATATCTCTGTTTCAACGCATTTTAGGGTTTTTGAACTTTAAGTCTTGCATGTTTAATTTGTATTCCGATTTCGATTAAGTTTCGTTATTGATTCTGACCATTTGTGTCCTTTTTGTTCAAGGTGCGAAGAGAAGAAAAAAAAAGTTACCTTCGTTGGAGGAGATGGTTAGGAGGCGTTTTGGAGGGCTCGACGGCGGAGAGAGCGTGATTGTGAAGCTAGCTTGCTTGGGGAAATCTGGTTTGTATCGTTGTCTATTTAGGGTTTGATGATGACTTGAAAACATTTTCCTCTTCTTTATCTCTTCTCCTCGTTGGCTTGCCTTCTGTTTATGTTGCCTTGAGATTAGTATGCTTATGTTGCCTTAGATTTTCTCTCTTCTTCTGACTTGTTGCCTTGAGCTTGCCTTTGAAACTGTTGAGCTTGATAGTTGCCTTCTTTGCTCGTATGCTTGAATTAATGGCCCATGATGATGTTTGGTTTGTTCGCCTATGATGAGAGTTTCTCTGAGGCTTGTGATGTTGGATCTTTTTAGTGTTGATGAGATATGTTTTGAGTTGTTGGCTTTTGCAACTAGTAAGGTTTTCTGGTTATGGGCATATGCTGGTTTTTGTGATATATTTGGCTTTGAATGGTTAAGGTTTTAGGCCATGTATTGCTGGTTTATGCTTAGGAAGGTTCTGGTTTTGATGAACTGGTTATTGGCTTTAGTGAGGCTTCAGGCAGGTTGTACTGGTTCTTTACAGGTTTTAGGCTCAATGCAAGCTTAAGGCATCTGATAGTTTTGTTTGTTTTCTTCAGACAGGTTGGGTTCTTGAGGCTCAGCAGGTTTGAGGATTTATGGTTTTTTGAATGGCTTGAACTGGTTTTTCTGGATGGAGGCTTAACAGGTTTTTTGAGGCTTGACTTGCTCTAGGCTGGTATGTTGTTTATGCTGGTATGGTTTTTTGATATCAGGCCAGGTTTTGAATGGTTCTTTGAAAACAAGGCCTTTTTTTTTAGACCTCCTTCTTTCTTTGATGGTTTAAGCTGATATATTGTTTTTGATGTGGTAGCTTGATGGTTATGTGTTGAAAAGAATAAGGCTTCTGCAGGTCTTGTGCTTGACAGTAGCTTAAGGCTTTTTGGATTTGCTCCCTTTATCCATTGTGCTCAGCTTTTGTTTTATATGTTTTCTTTCTATCTGCCTAAAGCCTAAAAACCTGCTCTCTTATCTCCCTTCTCTTCTATCTCTCAGTACAGTTAAATATTAAACTATGTTTTTGCTGTACTTTTCTGAAAGGGCCACCCTTATCTTGGGAAATGATGAAAAAAATGTTTTGCTTGCATAATAGATTTCCTCTGCATATTGTCTCTTCTTTTGACAACTTTTGTACTTTTGGAACTTTTCATATCTTTGCCAAATCTTCTTCTTGACAGCTTTGAGTAGCCTTTTTGGCATTTTGACAGCAAGTTGCAATTTGGATTTTTTTAGTTTGATTTGCACTTGGAGTTTGATTTGCACTTGGAGTTTGTTTGAGACTTGAACTATGCAATATGTTTGACAAGCTTTGCATTTTTTCTCAACTTTGCATTCATGATTAGCAAATAAAATTCGTCCCTCTTTGTGAACCGGGAGAAATCCCGTGATTTGCAGAGAGGGTTAACTGATCCCAATTAGTGGCCCTTAATGATGACTGTAATTTTATCTGTCTTTTCAATTCAATTTATCTGTTATTTGACTTTTCTCTTTTCTTTTATTTATTGTAGATGAATAATTTGAATGGAGAGGGGTTTTAAATGAAGAATGAAGAATTGGGGACTTAGAAAATATTTAGAAAAATAGGATAGTTTTATTTTCAATTTAATCATTGTAACTATTATTATTATAAATACTTCGTAAATGAATACTTGTATCTAAATAATAATTGTAACAAATATGTAAATATGAAATAAAAATTCTATTGATACATTTAATTCTTTTTATCCCTTTTCAATTATTTATTTATTATTTATAGTTCTTTAAATTAAAATAACTGAAAATTAAATTCCAGCTTTTTTTTAATCTTTAGAATAATAAATAATTAACTAAACATTGATTCAACGTTGATCAAATGATAAACTCGGCGCTTCCAACATCCAAAGCAAAGCACAATCAAACACAATAACTGATCAGACGCATTCCCTTTTTACTGATTTTTACCCAATACTGCAAATCCCAACTGAATGTACCTTTTGACTGGTTCAATCAAACAAACGTGAATTCAAACCAACTGCCTTCTTTTACTGATTAAATCAAACAATGCGAATTCAAACCAAATCTCGGAATGTCTTGCAAAGCACTGTAGAATTCAAATCCTCCTGAGAACGTGCCCAAAAACCCTAATTCCTGATTAAATTCCAAAGAGCGTTCGCCTGATCAAAGTTGAGCCAAAATCAACCAAAACCCTAAGCCAATTGTGAAACATTCCAAAGCCCTGAAAGATCAATAAAAACCCTAATTTGTGTCTGATTGACGAGGAAAGTTTGTTTGACCGATTCTTGAGCCAGTCTGAAAAATCAGGAAACGCCTGAAGCTGTGATTTCTTGAGGAAAAATGCGAGGGAAAATTTTGGGGTACAACAGTTGCCCCTGTTCAATGTTCTTGAACCTGAAGAGTTAGATTGGCAAGTTTGCCTTTCGCGACTTGAAGGTAAAAGAAGATTGGACACTAAAGTGCCCAGAAAATTTGCACTCGGCGATGTGATGGTAGAGGTGAATGGGCTTAAAGATGCCATTTGGTGATGGGCTTAAAGATGCCATCTGGTGACTGCTGGTAGGAGGATGGGCTTATAGATGCCATCTGGTAATGTTGAACTGTATGTCAATGGTGAGTGGACGAGTATCAGAAAGGCACCCATGTTTTGGAACATCTCTGAATTGGGATCCGGGTAAGCAATAGATTGACATCCATGTCTGGAG